TTTACATTTTCATGTTAGAGTTTTTTGAAGTTCTGCAACATTTGTCTCAAAAATGTCTGGTGCCATCCTAAGTGGTAGAAGATTGGCTATTGCTGGGAACTTTTTCGTATTCATTCTGACTTCCTGGGTTCTGGCTTTCATCATAGCCCCATGTTCAAATAAAAATATACACTGAAACAAACACCTCCATAGAAAGGTATCATGTCCTCTACTGCTCAGACAGTCCAGGCTTTGGGCCTCGCTAAGTTAGTGCCTTGAAGCCAATAAGCTGAACTGATAAGGTCTGACCCACTGGCCTCCACAGAACCTCCCCCCACACGTCGAAGGGGTAAAAAATCCTCTACCTTAAAAGATCTCTTTATAGCTTTACTACCATCCTTCCTCTAATCATTCGGCATATGCTATACTACAATAAGCCTAAGCTAGTCTAGGCTAAACTAGCTGCCACTGACTCTTGTCTACTAAAATCTCACCATCCATCCCCACAGATAGTATCACCTCTCACTGTTGCACTTCTTTTAGTGGAAATATCAGATAGATTTTATTGATCTCACAGTGGAGAAAATCACTTATATTAAATATAAAAATATATATATATATTTAAGAAACACATCATAACATAATCAAGGAAGTTAACTTTTGGGCAGATATAGTCAATGATATTCTGCAAAGTTCTTATTTTGGGGTAGACCATCACAAAGCCTCGACCTGAATCCCATAGAAAACCTATAGGCGGAAAACGTGTGGGAAACTTCACTCAGCTACAACAGTTCTGTGAGAAGGAATGGGCCAAAACTCCAGCAAACAATTGAAAGAAGACAATGGAAAGATATCAAAAATGACTGATGTACTGATTGGGAGGGAAATCTGGAAAAATAATAAAAAAATATGTACATTTTCACTTTTAAATAATACAAAAAAAAACATTTGTATCCTATATTCAGCAGATGGATCAAACAGTACTGAAAACAGAAGATGCATGTTTTATTCATATAGAGTAAAACTGTTAGCAGAATATTTAGTTTTCACATGCAAATCCCATTTTACCAGTCAGGAAAAAAATGTTTATGATACTTTTAGTTCCCAGCTTGGTGTCCTTTAGATCTAGAGCGGTTTCAGGAGAATTTGTCTAAATTTATCTCGGCTGCGAAAGGTGAAGTTGAGGAAAAGCTTTTTGATTATTGATGAATTCCATAACTGGGAAGAAGACAGATTGAAGAAATCTGCCACCAGCTCAGCTTCATCAAGCACAATAAATATTCAACAGGGACCCAACAAGAAAAGTGAGAGAATGCATACATGGCTGTGGTTTCATCACATCCTCTTTGCCAGCTGTCTGCTTCCCTTCAACTTTTAACATTTTAAACTTGGGCTGCTTTTGTCCGATTGCTGCAAGACATGTGCTTTACTTTGTGCCGCTACTATGTCCACCTATCCTCCCTTTTCCTTTCCCTATAATAGCTGGATGAGGCAGGCTGGCTTAAAAAAGGAATTGATTGTTCTAGGTTACAATGCTGCACAATGTGGCAGGCAAGCAGAGCCCCCCCTGCCTTGGTGACATGACGGGAGAAGCGGCTTTAAACGGTATTGTCGAGGGCGGGATTAAGCGGATTAGAGGGGCCACAATCAGAAATATGCAAAGTGCAGATGCTTCGTTTTTGTTTTCCCAAATGAGTGAAACCCCCCCACCCTCCACTAAAAACACAGAAAAATCTGCCCCCTTCCCTGAACGAGACATCTGTGAATGTATGTGCATTCAGTAAATCCGCTTTGATGCAAAAGGAATGTGCTCGTCATTGAAATTGTCCTCTGGGATGTGTAGAGGATTCAGTCTTGCTTACATTCTTGTTAGGATCCAATCTGGGCTCAGGTCTCCTCACTGTAAAGCTGCTGTGGCGTCAGCAGCGACACCCTTAGGGATTCCTTCCCAGACTGTGACTCATATCACGTCTTCTACACAGTGCTGCTACTTTAGTACTCTGCAAACCGCTTCAGTCTTATTTTTAATTCAAGATAAACTGAGCTCTCTGCATTATCCTCAAAATGCTGAGGTCAGATATCAGTCAGAACGATCGAGACAAACTCAAGATGCATTCTGGGACATCTCCTTCATCTGCTAGCAACACTCGATGAGGGCAAAATCAAACAGAACTCAATACCAAACCCCCGGTTTTCATTTTACTTTAAAATGACATGTAATCACGCAGCGGCGGTCTAATTTTAGCGCCTGGGCTCGTCAGTGTAATCATGACTTGGAATAAGTTAAAATGGTTTCCGTGGGTGTTTGGGCCTGTGAAAGTGCCACTGATGTGCGTATGGAAGCTCTGTGCCTTCTGATTTTGCATCTGCTCTGTAATTTACACATTCAGAAGAGGGGAGAAAGAGAACTCTTTTGTTACCTGGTAGTGCACTTCATCATTACCTGCATGCTACTGCATAGTTTCCAAATCATAAAAGGAGCCAGCTGGAGGGTTTCATTTTTTACTCACTTGTTATTTGCTACCTCCGACACCATCAGATTTCTAGTATTTCTAGCAAATTTATAGGTTTGAAAATTGTGTAAATGAGCAAAGAAATGGCAAACCACATTGGCAGCATGAGGCTCTTCTGAAAAAGAGCAGGGCTGTGAAGAAGTATTTACAGCCTTTCAGATTTTCCACCGCTTTTCCCTTTTTTTGGTCACACTTAAATATTATCACACAATCAAACATGTTTTCATATCAGACAAAGATAGCCAAAGTAAATAAAAATCACAGGTTTGCAATAGATGATTTTATTTGAGGGAAAAATATGATTCAGATCATTGGCAATGAATAAAAAACACTATTCTTTTACATAGATACAAATTGCTGACTTACAGCTTGGACGAATTGTGATGAAATAACCACCTTCAACCTCCAATCACTGAGACAAACCTGCAATTTTAAATACAAAATGTGTAACTTCTGAGACAATTAAAGAGTTTGTTTTGATTCTGGTCTGTTAAGACTGATTTATACTCAGAATCCAGGTCCTCTGCATGTGTCGCAGTAAATGCGGATATGCTCCCGCCCCTTCCACAGACACCCTGGTGCACCTCTCCAAAATTGTAGGTCGCAGCAGAAAGGAGGCCTCTGATTAGTCAAATCTACATTCGCTCTACACTATGAGTATTTCCTGTTTGGTACCTTACCCGCTTGTTTTGTTCGTATGACCGCCATTGTGGAAAACGGCTCGTGAAGTTGCACCAGCTAGCAGAGTGAGGTGTCCCTCATGTCCCTCCGTTGTCGCACAAACACCCCCCCCACTTCCTCACCGCCTCGGGCCTTATCTAGACCCACAGCTAGTTCGTGATTGTCCCTCTTGCGTTGTGGCGTGGCATAACATAACACAGACCACGCTTCAAAATTTGGCATAAATAAAAAATATCTGCGACAAGCTCACTGCGACACACTGCTGCAGGAGTATAACCAGCCCTTTAATCAACATCCTCCCTCTCTACTTTTCTCTGTGCAATGGGAATTTGAATCCTTGTTTACACCTATGTCTACCCTGCCTCTGTTCTAATCACACCTCGTTTACTCCACCTGTTGAACTGGGTTTATCATACAACTGCTCTATTGCTGACAAAAGGTGCCAGATTATCGAAAGCCACTACGTGCGTAAATGTACAGCAATCTTTCCTTGCCTACCTCCTTAATCTTGTTTGTGCCTGCTTGGATTTCCCTCTTTTGCCTTGCCAATGTTGGATATTCTCCTGGCTTTGGATCTTTGGACATTAACTTTGTTTCTGCCTGCTCTCTTATAACCTCTTGCACAAACCCTGGATCTGTCCGCCTGAATCTTTCTCCCTGTGTTCTTCCTCATTTCTGTACTGACTAGCTTTCTGTTCCTGTTTCTGTTTCTGCCAACCTTCTGGATTAATAAACCTGAAGATTTCTTACTGTGTGCTCTGATTGTGGCTCAGTTGGATCAAACCCTCACGTCAAATCCAGAATTCACATTAACAGCCAGTCAATTCCATAGTGAAGTCCTCTGCATCCCCTCTTTCCAACAGATTCTGAGAAGGTTATTGGCTTTATTTGTGAACTTTACATCTTCCGAAAGTTCCTGCCCAGCCAAACACCTATCTTTCTCCTTTTAAGATGTTCCTGATCCAGCTGCCTGTGGCCTTCCTGTCATTCTACAAAACCATGTTTCCATAAATCTGTTGACCCAAAAGTCTGACTGGACTTTTGGCTCCTCATTGCAAACTTTTACAAAGTTGTTTTTAATATGAAAATATTAAGGGGAATTTGGAATACTTTCCAGTCTTTCAAATGATTTGGTCATGCACAGTTTGCATGGTCCTCGTTTTGTGTAAAGGTCAGAGCCAGTGTAATTTTATGCTAGTAATAAAAATGAGTACAAAATAAATGGATCCTAATTTTACAAAGCAACTTACTAAGGACTTTACTTTAACAGACTTGGTTTGACTTTGTTCTCTTGAACCTATCTACCAGGAAAAGATTGTTATTATTTCATTTTAGGAGTTTAGGGATTTTAGGAGAGAAAATAATCATTCACAGGTATAAGATAACTAAAGGATATAGGAGGCAGTTTTAAATGAGCTGTGCTGAGCTCATGGGATAGAAATATCTGGTTTGGTGTGAAGAGAAAGTGTGTGTGTGTGTAGGTGGGGGTGTGTGCTCCGACCCTCTAAACACAGACTCCAATGGCCTAAGTGTGGAAGTGATGTCATAGCACATTCTTCAGCTCTGTCTGAATGGCGATGTGGATGCCGTCTGCTCATCTGTTTTGTGTTTGGACTCGGTGGTCATGTCGTTTTCATTGAGAATGGCACGTTATCGATGACACAAAATGAACTATTTCAGAGGTTCCTGGTTTTCCAGGAAGAATTATTTCAAGTTTTTATCTAAAGCATTTATTTATTGATAGTACGAAATGGTCCATATTTGCAGATCGTGGCCTTTGAGTGTAAAGTGGAATAACGCTACGTTTTTATTTCTTCTTTCCTCTAGAACACTGAAGCTCACTTGACGTTCCTGATCGCGGTTTCCGCTGCTCTCTTCCTCTTCTTGTCCATCTTCATCCTGGTCTGCATTGAATCTGTTTTCAAGCGGATGCTGCGCCTCTTCTCACTCCTTACCTGGGCCTGCTTGGTCACCATGGGTTACCTGTTCATGTTCTCCGGGGGCAGGCTCAGTCCCTGGGACCAGGTACTGTACAAACTAAGGATGCACGTTATGATGAACCAATCTAAAGTTGATTGATCTAATTAATTGACGTACAATGGGTTGAGAGGCTGCTGTTTTCTCTTGCATCAAGAAGATCCACAACATGAGTGGCTAAATATTTTTTTAACAATATTGAACATCGTTGAATCTTAACAATTTATTGTGCCAAAAAAACAAAACAACAAAAAATGTTTTCTCACTAAATAATTAAACATATTTATCACATATAATGAATCATATTTATAAGACGCAAAAAAACAGAAACCAATTAGGTTACTTAATAAAAATGACAGAGTATGTGAAACCTTTTAAATTTCCGAAAAATGGAGATGTAAAACTATCAGTAAAAATGACGAGGTATGTCACTCTGACATGCTGTCAGTTGAGGGTCCCTATTGTGCAGCTATTTTTATTGAAGTACAACAATCATTGATGGGAAAGACTCTGTTCTGTTAGCAGCACTTTTTTAACAGGAGGTTCAGTTGCTCTCAGAGGAATTTCGATGGTTGTCTTTAAAAGGCTTTTGCATTAATTCAAAAAAGCCTTTCCTACCTATTTTGCTAAATGCTAGCATGACTTTTTCTATTATTTTACAAACATTTTGCATAATTCCCTCCATTGTTCTTTTATCACATTATCACATTCCGAGCACAGCAGATAAGTTAACTGTGTTTAAATCCAGTTCTTAGATCTGACTGAAGTCAGAGTGATTTGTTAAACGACACTCAGACTGTGTTGAAATCTGTTTTATGATACTGTAACATTCATACCACATTCAATCTTTTAGATTTTTACATTACAACCATGAGCTTTATTTTGTTTTATAAGGATTTCATTGCCATGTGCCTCTCTGTATTCATTGCACTGTTTTTTTGCAAGGAGATTAAATATAATCGTTTTTAGGCCAGCAAACTGAAGATTTCTGCAGCTATTGCCGTATAATCAAACCCTGCTTTAACCTGTCCATAACTTTGTACCCTGTTGTGCTTCCTTGGTCTTCATAGTCCAATTAAATCCCTAAAGTTCTCTAACAAAACTCTGATGTGCTTAACTGAAATTTAATTACACATTGCTGAAATGTGTTTACTAATCAGAGGAATTTACAGCATCTGGTTGTGCTGGATTTTAATAAGGCTATCAGGGTCAAACACACATCTTATTAATTTTTTATTGTATAAAATTTTGTTATAAACACATATCATCAATGCTATGGCCCTTCTTTACAAAGATCAACACACTCCAACAAACGGATGCTTTGTAACGTGACATGATGTGAAAAAGTTTAGGTGGTTTGAATATTTTAGCAAACAACTATTGATTTCTGTCTGTTTTTGAGGAGCAGACTTCCTCCATATTGCTGTAAGTTTCTTTTTCTGGATACTTTCACCTTGTGCTGCCTTGATTTTGATGCCAAATTTCCTTTAAGTCTTCATAGAGTTTGGAGGTGATTCGCAATCAGAAAGAGGGCCAGAAATCCATCTTAGATCACATTCCAATCAGCTCGACATGTTGAAGTCCGACTTTTAAGTTTGATTCGCATGTTCTCTATGTCTCCTGCATCCCACAGGTGTGCAGGTGTGCTTTAGCTGACTATGTTTGCATAAACTGATGTCTGAGTTTGAGCGGTCATTTATTATTTTTTTTGCATTGTTTTTTTTTATTTTTTTTTATAAATTCTTTATTGTCCCACATTGAGGAAATTTACTCTCTGCATTAAACCCATCTCCTTTGTGGAGCAGTGGGTTGCCACTGTTGTCGCCCGGGGAACAGTCTGGGGTTAAGGGTCTTGCTCAGGGACCCGTAGTGGGAGCCTGTGGGAGTGGGTGGAGCTTGAACTCAGAACCTCCGGGACCCAAGCCTTGAATGAGATGATCCCATTACATTGTTGCTGTCCTTTTATCCTGATACTGACCTTTGTTATAGCAGACATGTTGATGCTGCACATTCACAACGGATTTGAGAAGCTAAAATGTCTAAAATTCATTGAGTCCTCATGCTTGTTACAATTAGGGCAGTCGTGGGTGAGCGG